GTAAGAACAGATTGCATGACATCCATCCTTTGGACAAATGTAAATGTGCCATGCATCATTGTTGACGCTAGGTACAATGTTATATGGCAAGATATCTAGAGCTTATCATCTTATATGCCTGTTGATTAAGAACTCCTCACTTCCCCCTCCCATAATCCTTGGTAGCCACTATTTTCAACCTCTAAGTTTATGAACTTGACTGTTTTAGGTAGCTCTTAAAAGTGGGCCCATGCAGTATTTGTCTTTCTGGGTCTGATTTCCTCCACTCTGTGTAATGTTCTCAGTGGCAAGTGTTGTTGGATTTGACAGAATAGCCTCCAGGGGGGGAGGGGGGCCTGAATAGTATCCCATTATATGTCAATGCCACATTTTCTTTATCCATTCATCTGGCAATGGGCTACATCGTTCACACATTTTGGCTGCTGTTTGATGGACAGGGTTGAGTCTTCCAGCTGTGTTGTCCCAACCTATACTGCCTCCTGGTGGCAAAATAAGCTCATTACAAAAAAAACATGAAAACCTTGTAAAGAACAGCTAGCTAAGAAATTGAGAAACTCTATCTTAAATCATCTGAAAATCCCAGGAATTTCCTGAATTTATTACCCCACTTAAATGAAGAAAAATGAGTCTCTGTGTGTTTTTTTTTCTTTTTATTCTTCTTTGCATTTGCAAACATTCCCTCCATTGTGCTCTGAGCCAGCAGAGGGCATGCTGAGAGATTTCATCTTTGTCTCTGCTCTTTCCATTAAAGAATCTGAGACTGGGCACCAGTGGCTCATGCCTATAATCCTAGCTACTCAGGAGGCTGAGATCTAAGGATCATGCTTTGAAGTCAGCCTGGGCAGAAAAGTCCCCACAATTCTTATCTCCAATTAACCACTCAAAACCCAGAAATGGAGCTATGGCTCAAGTGGTAGAGCTCTAGGCCCAGGCCCTGAATTCAAGCCTCATGACCAACAAAAAAATAAAATAAAATAAAGGGATCTGACCCAATGAGACCCCAGTTAATCCCCCTTGCTTTAAGCTAAGATAGTAGTGAAACCACAGGAAAATAAAGGGGGAAAAGTTTGATCGGAAACAAGAAGTACCCAAAAGTAGAATATGAGTATGGATAAGTATGGCAGAGTGGGAAAAAGGGAAGGGAGAGGAGGATTTAATCTACACACTAAATGTTTCCCTTTGCACAGGTGCCACTTTCTAAGTTCAGATTGTGTCATTCACTCATCTCTCCATTCAGCCTCTCTTACTGAGCCCCAGCAGACTAATAAAGTTTGCTCTATGTTTCATTTCAGTGGCATTTTGCTGCCATTATCAGCTGCCCACCAAACCCCCAGCCCTATGTGAAACTGGTAGCAAGGATACTAAACGTGACATCAGTGGTAGTGTTGATGTCTCAGGAGGAAAGCTTTACAGGCCAAGAAGGTGATGGGCAAATTATGCTCTGTTGATAGTCCAGTAGATGATATACAGTCATTCAGGGGGAACTTGTTCAAGAAAAAGAAAAAATAAAGAAAGAAAGCTGACAACAGTTCAAAGAAATCACCACATCTTTGACAGTAGTGTCACAAATGACTGTAACTCTCCAGATCCAAACTGGTAGCTTTGATCCAAGGCTGAACAGCATGTGAGGCTGGACAGAAATGGATATGGTAACAGCTTTGAGGAAACAGAATTCACGAGCAAAGTTAGAGGAAGGAAAGTGAGGAGTAAGCTGCAGCAAAACTATGACATTAACACCAGTTATCTGGGAAGCTAAATTCTTACCTACTTTCCCCTTTAGGTTCATTCAGGTTTTAATTATATATGGCATTGTTTATCCCTTGTGAAGATCAAGAAACGCTTTATGAGGATTCTCTATCTTCACAGTCCCTTTTCTTTCCTGTCCCTTAACCTCTCGTTAGACCATTGCATGCTCATCCATTCCATAGAGTTGAGGTGAAATAAATTCAAATCTCAAGTCTTCACAGTGACACAAATGTCAAAGACACATTTCCAATAACCACTAGAGACACACCACTGTAACCACACTCTACTTTCTCAGGTTCAAACACCTCTTCCTATCATGCAAACCTATTACCCTGCTTCTTCAGCTTTCACTACCATCTTGAAATGCTACCATCTTGAAACTGAGTCATCTTCAATTGTTTCTTCTTAATTATTTTAAAGTTAACAACCCAGCCCCATGAATTAGCTTGATGCTATTTCTCTCACTGGTACTGTCTCCCACTACCACTGGCTTCTTCAGATGCAAAGACTTTTATAATTCCTTTGAAGGAACCTATTCTGGCTTCACACTGCCACCCCATCAACCAACGCATTGCATCCCTTGCTTTCGGAATTTCAACACGTTAGACATGATCGCACCACAACTATAATGCAAAGCCACTCACAACTCATCAGTAATGATTGACAACATGAACCTCCAACACCTCAGTGCAGGTATTGTGTCAGTGTCAGCCCCATTTATCTTCCCCATACTAATCTCCCACTACCATCCAACCCGAAAAAAAAATAGCTCAGATCTTTCACAAGGCCAGGAAAAACCTCTGAGGGGCAGACCTTTTGACTCGATGGATGGATCTGACCACTCAGCAGTGGTCAGGAGCATCAGACTCACTTTCTAATACAGAATATTTATCTTGGATATCGAAGTAGACACCCTGATTGTATAAGCAATCATGTACACACACACACACACACACACACACACACACGAATATGTTCAAGAACACTGAGAACATGTACTCAAATAATCCTGAGACTTGGGTCCCAGAGGACAGAATGGTAGAGGAACTTTCAGAATCTTACATTTGAAAAATGGGGGAAAGAGAGAGTAGCCATCAGAATGATCCAGAAGATCAACCACAGCCAATGTGGAAAACAGGTAAGTTCAAAGGGAGTTAAAATTTGGGGGAGGATAAAGAGAAAGCAGAGATCATTGTTAAACTGTAAGCTAGCTTTTCTGCTCTTGGCAACAATAAGTCTCCTTTCCTTGATGCTCAGGGGCATTCACTACAGCCTAATTCTGCAAGCATCAAGACAGTGATGAATCATAGCTATATATATATATATATATATATATATATGCTCGTCCTGGGGCTTAAATTCAGGGTCTGAGAGCTGTCTCTGAGCCTCTTTCTGCTCAAGGCTAGCACTCTACCACTTAAGCCACAGCACCACTTCCAGCTTTTTCTGAGTAGTTCAATGGACATACAAGTCTCATCACTTTTATACCCGGGCTGGCTTTGAACCGCAATCTCCAGATCTCAGCCTCCTGAGTAGCTAGGATTACAGATGCGAGCCACCAGCGCTTGGCTCATGGCTATATTTTTATGTCAATGGTTTGAGTTGAGTTGGAAGCCCTGAAGTCACCCAACAATCACTACTCATGATGCTGCAGTGATGTCATAGTGGAGCCCAACTTTATCCTACCCACAACCTTCTCAGAGCTCAGCAGAGGAACTAGAGGGAGATTACACCTTCCCAAACACAGCTATGCCATCTGCTTTTATTTGAACAACTTGTCAAGTTCACCAGCAACACCAAGGGGTGAGTTGCAGCTAAACAACTAGAAATGACTGTCCTGGTCACTTCTCTTTGTGGGAGTGGCCTACACAGTGCAGGACACAGGGTGGTTATGTTCACTGTCATTTTTTTTTGGGGGGGGGGGGTAAAAACAAAGGTGCACTTCATGCTGGTACACACCATCTTAGAGTTCACGTTTATGATCTGACTTCCCAGAAAGCATACTAATTTTAAAACTAGCTTAGCATTACATTTTAAAGTTTCATATAATGGACATGTAATTGTATTTGTATATGGTTAAAGGAAATCAAAGATTTGTCAATTAGATCAAGTTTGAAATCTTGTCAAAGACAGAAATGCTCTGTCCACATTTACAAGATAAATCTTCCAGAGAGACATACCTAGCTTAGGACAAAACTCAACACAGAAGAAAAGGACTTGTCTTCAAAAAGTCCTATTTTAAGGTTCTCACATTCATATCGTTAACTTTCATATTTTGATAAATTAGAATTTCCCCCATTCATTTCTTTCCTCATGTCTTTCCTTATGACTCACTATTAGCAAACCTAACTTGAAACAAGGGAGGGGACAATTCTAGAATGATCCCTAGAAATTAGCCATAGCAGGGATTCAGTTGCCTTTCCCAGAGAAGAAAGCAATTTTCAAGATTTCTGGTGGCCAACGTAGGACACAGGGTTAAAAGAAGTGCCTGCAGTTCCCAGAACCCTCACATACCTCCCATTTCTCTCCATAAGGATGGAGAAGCCGCCTTACCAGTGTTCTCTGGAAACTGGGCCATGTTCTGGGTTCAGAGAACTCTGGTAAAGTCCAGTAGCATGCTCAGAGTCATGGACTCCTTGAAATACTGGTTTAAATAAATTACATAAAACCTATGGGGTTACAGAAAACACCAACAATATGAACCTATAGTTATTGTGGTTGGAGACAAGGAACATCCAGGACCTTACCTTAGAAGCCCCCATGAGAGAAAAATCAAAGAAAAAGTAGAGAGATGAAAACATGCTGCCACAAATCCAGAACAAGAATGGGGACACTTCTTAGAGGAGAAGAGGGGAAGAATGCAATCAAGGATTCAATGTATGGCTTACAAAATCAAGAGGCATGAGAAAAGGGGTGGGTGGGAGAGGGGGGGATGAGGATGTTGAAAGAGGTGGCATTGATCAAGACACTTTGTACCATAAACTTTTGTTAAATGGCAACTCCTTTGTACAACTACTTGAAGGTGATGTTGTATGATGATGATGATGATATGATGATGATTATACTGCTACTAATACTACTAATGACAATAGAATGAGGACAGTCCCTAAAAGTTCTAGAACCCCAACACGTGTTAGGATAGGCTTCTTAAGCACAGGGGTGGGCAGCAGTTGTGAGTAAAAAATGCCACAAGAGCCCCTCCCACCAACAACCTGTCTCCCCTTGCTTTGTAGGGCCTACTTGCTCAAGAAACAATGTCAAGCAATGATAATAAGCCTATGGACACGGGGGAGAGGCCCCTGAACTGTGACCCCAGGTGTGAACAGAAGTGTGAAGCCAAATGCCAGCCCAGCTGTTTAAAGAAGCTGCTCCAACGCTGTGCGGAAAAGTGCCCAAAGGAAAAGTGTCCACCACCACCTCCATGCCCTCCATGCCCCCCTCCGTGCCTCCCGCCCTGCCTCCCAGAATGTCCCCCACCATGTGCCCCACCACCGCCATGCCCTCCACCGTGCCCTCCCGATCCCTGCTCTCCTCCTTGCGCACCCCCAGAGTGAAGCACCCTGGGGCAACCCCCCCACCTCAATGCCACTAGTACCGCCACCACCCGTATGACAACACTGTGGGGCTGAAGTTGAAACCATGAACTGACAAGTAAACGTGTTCCTCTGCTGTGCAAGATTTCTGGTCTTGGTGGGTTTGGTATATTTTATTGTTGTTGCTGCTGCTGCTGCTGTGGTACAGAGGCAATCATTGGGGAGTATAAGGGTAGAATCCCAGACCTTCTACCATGAAGGACCTTCAAAGATGCTCCACTTTTCTACCTACTGCTTAGAAGAGTTGCCTCTTCTGAAGGGTGTATGCAGGGAATTTCAACTCCTGTTAGAAAGAAAACCTGAGTGATTCTCACATTTGGCTGCCAGTAGTAAAGTGAGCAACCCCAGGAAAAGAGAGTCAGGGACAGAGAGACAGAGAGCAATAAGGGGAAAGAACAAGAAACTGACAAAGTGTCCAGGAAGGCTCAGGAAAAGATGTTCTACCACGTTGGCTGTTAGTCCAAGTATATAATACTTACACAAAGGAGATCTGAGCGACGGCTACAGAGGCCTAACTGCTCCTCTAGTCCCTCACTGAACTTCTCTGCGCAAGGAAGAAAGGAAACTCAGTTTCCTCCTGTCTGCAAAAGGAATTGCTGTGAGACTTAGGAGTTAAAAAAGATCCAGTGCCTAGTCTACCAGGTCTGCTAGGTGACAGGAGCACTGTCTATTTACTTGGACAGAACACTCATCACACTGAACTTAATTGCTCCATACTTCTTCATTAGGCTATAAGACACCTGAACACAGTGGCCAGCCTTTAATGTACTCCTGTAGACACATAGCTAGATACTCTTTTTTCCCAGACCTGGGCTTGAATTCGGCCTGGAAGCTGTCCCTGAGCCTCCTTGTGCTCAAGGCTGGCGCTCTAGCCACAGTGCTACTTCCAGCTTTTTCTGAGTACTTCATTGGAGATAACAGCCTCACAGACTTTCCTGCCCTAGCAAGCCTTGAACCACAATCCTCATATCTCAACCTCCTGAGTAGCTAGGATTACAGGCATGAGCTACCAATGCCCAGCTCACTAGATATTCTTAAGAAAATAGAAAAGCAGACTTTGATACTGAACTATACTTATGTAACCTATTGCTGTTGAGAGAATACAATAAAGGGTACAGGGAATCTCCACTTTTGTGACTTTCTATAAATTCAAGCTTTTATTTTGGTTATATTTGACTAATGCTTTAATTAGATTTATAAATTTAGATTTATCTTATCTAATTAAAAATAGATCAGCATCCAGTTAGGAATGAACAAGGAGGGCTGGGAAGGTGGCTCAGTGGTAGAGCGCTTGCCTTGCATGCTCAAGGCCCTGGGTTCGATTCCTCAGCACCACATAAGCAAAAAGAAAAAAGCCAGAAGTGGCGCTGTGGCTCAAGTGGTAGAGCGCTAATCTTGAACTGAAGAGCTGAGGGACAGCGCCCAGGCCCAGAGTTCAGGCCCCACGACCGACAAAAAAAAAAAAAAAGGAATGAACAAGGAGAAGGCATCCACAGATGCTATGTTAGTCACAGTTTGTTACAAGGAGCTTGGCAGTCTGTGCCAAACTGGGAATATAATGAATTTTATACCTGAGAAGTATATTGGAATGGGAGGTAGAATTAAAGAGAATTATAGCAAGTAGGCCTTCAGGGAGCTCCTATTATCTCCAGAAACGGAGCCTGATTGTCTAGAAGGTCATCAGCCCACCTCTGTGGCCAAGAAGATGCCAGAGCCTTGCCACACAAGTAAAACCAGCTGTGAATTATAGTCTACCATATTTAAATGGAAATAAGCTCAGGATTCTCTGCAGTCACAGATATTATGAAAGAAGCTGGCTCTGGGATGGTTCTGGATGGAATCAAAACCCACCAACACTGTCCATCCCTCTGAGGGGAATGAGCATCAAGAAGATGGGTTCATCTGTGTCTTATATGTATATATGTTTGTCTGATTTGGGAAAGAAAGGGGAATAACAAAATGGTAACACAAAGGACCAATGCAACAGCGATACTAACAAGACACTATGCTAGAAATTAACTTGACAGGGGCTGGGAAGGTGGCTCAGTGGTAAAGCACTTGCCTTGCATGCCTGAGGCCCTGGGTTCGATTCTCAGCACCACATAAGCAAAAAAAAAAAAAAAAACCCGGAAGTGGGCACTGTGGCTCAAGTGGTAGAGTGCTAGCCTTGAGCTGAAGAGCTGAGGGACAGCGCCCAGGCCCAGAGTTCAGGCACCACGACCAACCAAAAAAAAAGAAAGAAATTAACTTGACAACTCAAAGAAAGGAATGAGGGGAGGGAAAGTGGTAGAAAATGAGGGAGGGGGTAAACATGTTTGACAAGAAATGTACTCATTACCTTACTTAATGTGATTATACTTATGAGACTCTGTACATCACCCTTACAATATATGAAAAAAAGGATGAGTTCACAGCAGCAAATGATGTGGCCCATACAGAGAGCTCAAAAGTTACCAAGACACTGGGTCACTGGACGCCTGACTTACGTGGTAGAGCACTCACCTAGCTTGTGTCAGGCCTTGATTCAAGCCCTAGTACTTCCCAGGAAAAAAAATTATACTCCCTCCCAACCAAGGTTGTATAATCACCTAGTTACAGAAGCAGACTTTTAGGACATGAAGCTAGACAAGGTCTTTAGGTGACACCCTCTCATTTGCCAGATGTGAAAGCTAATAGTTGCTTTCTCTTACATGAAGACACAATGGGGGCTCAGGGTCTCCTGGCAGGGATGGGAGTCTGTCCACAGGATTCCTACATACCAGTGCCCTCCAGAGGCAGTTGTTAGATGCCAGACACCTCTAGAAGAACACAGGGCACTGGAGGACTGTGGTCTACTGTTGCTATCAGAAATTAAAACCACCTATTTTACAGATCAAAAAGCCTACACTGGTGGCTCATACCTCTAATCCTAGCTACTCAGAAGGCTAAGATCTGAGGATGATAGCTTGGCAACAGTCCAGGTAGAAAAGTCCATGACGTTCCTATCTCCAATGAACCAGTTTTTTAAAAAATGGTGTGACTCAAGTAGTAGAATGACAGCCTTGAACAATAAAATTGAGAACACAGGATCCTGAGTTCAAGCCCCAGTAGCAACACAGGGTGTGGGGGGGGGGGGGGTAAAAGAGAACAAAATAAAATCAATGACATAATTTTTGTATCAATTAAAATATCAGAACCATAGCCAGGTGCTGGTGGCTCACGCCTGTAATCCTAGCTACTCAGGAGGCTGAGATCTGAAGATCGCAGTTCAAAGCTAGCCCGGGTAGGAAAGTCCATGAGACTCTTATCTCCAATAAAAAACACTAGAAAACCAGAAATGGTGCTGTGGCTCAAGTGGTAGAGCGCTTCGCCTTGAGCTGAAGAACACAGGGACAGCGCCCAAGCCCAGAGTTCAAGCCCTACGACCGACCAAAAAAAAATCAGAACCTAACCATTAAAAGTTTTCCACTCTTTGTGAGAGTTCAAATAAACTCTTTTAGAGCACAACTGAGCAAAAATGGGAATGTATATCAAAATCATAAAATGCTTCAACCGTTTGGCCTAATTCAACTTGATCTACTTCATAGAACTTAGGCAAAAAAATAATAATAATAATTAAAACATTGGAGGGACAAATTATAAAAAAATAATGTAATTTAGAAACAATTTCAATATCTAACAATGTTTGATTAAAGTTGGTCCTACTGGCACATTACACAGTCATTAATGTATTAAGAATACTGTTGGTATAGATGATTTGCAACTATAAAAAGGGAACAAAGAAAGCTCTTGGTGGTGCTATGGGAGGAATGGGACAGGAGTGTGATCGAGGGAGTGAAATTGATTGTAATACAGTGTACACATGTGGAGATATAACCATGAAATCCCCACGCCTGTAATTAACCCTGCAGAGAGGCATCTAGTGGATGCCAATAAGAAAAATGTACTAAAGAAGCACTGGGAGCATAATTCAGCAGTAAAGCACTCAGAGCCCTGGATTCAATTCTCGGCCCAGGGGAAAAAAAAAGTTGTACTTAAAAACAAAGTAAAGGAATTGTGTGTCTGCACCCACACAGCCCACTCTCCAATACCCAAGGAGAAAGGAGTTAAGGCCTCTATACCATGAGTCCTACAAAGCAGAAAGCCCGCACATGTATGGGTGGTAAAGCACTAAGAAAACAACTGGCTACAAAAGCGGCTCCCAACACTGCGCCCTCTACTGGATGGATGAAGAAAGCTCATGGTAACAGGCCTGCTACTGTGGCACTTGGTGAAATTAGATGCTATCAGAAATCCACTGAGCTTCTGATTTGTAAGCTCCCTTGCCAGTGTCTGATGTGAGAAATTGCTCAGGACTTCAAAACAGGTCTGCACTTCCAGAATGCAGTGATTGGTGTTTTTAAGAAGATGAATGAGGTCTGTCTGGGCCTTTAGGAAGATATCAACCTGAGTGTTAGCCATACCAAACATGTCACAATGATGCCAAAAGATAATCAGATAGCACACCACACATGGAGAACATGCTTGAGAATACACTGTGATGGGAAACATTTCATTTTCAAACCACTTTGGTCCATGTTATCAGTAGTTCTGAAAGTTAGATTCCCCCCATCCTCTTCGCTTGGGGTCAAAAGCTAAGTATGTGGCTGTAAGTAGAAAAAATAGGGGGCAGAAATCAAGTATTGGCAGTTTTCCATTTTCATTTGGATTTTTAATATGATTTCTTATAGAAAGCAAAATTGTGTTTGTAGCATTTTAATCATACTGTAACTTCAATCTACTTTTCTAACTGGATTGTCCTACATACAAGCACATATTTTTAATTCTGTCTTCTGCACTATTGCTGTAAGTTTACTATTGAAAATAAAAGACCCCAAATAGCAAAAACGATCCTCAACAGAAAGAACAGTGCTGGAAGAATATCAATATCAAATTTCAAACTCTACTACAAAGCCATAGTAATCAAAACAGCTTGGTACTGA